TCGGTTCCAGTTTCATCCTCCCATTTCCTCTGATTTCTGCCTTAAACTCTCCTTCGTGGCCAGCTTCTCACCAAGCTCCTTTTTTTGCAGCTGGTCCAGCTTCTCCGCCACCTGTTCAAGACACAGACAACCATCAATAAGTTACAACCTTTATATTCGGCAAATGCTGCACTAGAATAGGTCTGTTTTTTGATACTGGACGCGGCTCCATACCTCCTCTTCTTAGTTGCTCTGGGCCCGAGCCATGGCAGCCTGTTTCTCTTTCAAGCTGGACGTTGGCAGCATTCAGTTGGGCCCGGCTTTGGCCTCCCACCACCCTGAAGGCATTTCCCATAAACCTGGAAGAACAACATGACATTCCATGGATTTAGTTTTTGCTTTCTATTTGACTTTTTATGTATCGATTCGATTCACAAATTCCAAAAACATTAATAGAATTCATGAAAAAACTGCAAATGTAATGCTATCTAATGAGAAAAAGATAGCAGTTACAGGACCACAAATAACTGAACCATCAGAAAAAAAAAGCTAAAACTAAGAAAACAATATAAACAAATACTTCTCATTGTTCTTTGTGATAGCTGTTGGCTGTGCTTTGTGTTTGCTGCATACATTTATAAATACTAAAATTACACCTAACAATTACAAATTATGAATTGTAAACTATTATGGCAAGTGTACACCCTCTTACCTCCATGGCTCGTGACCCACTGCAGAGGGACTTGGCAGCCAGCCGACACCTTGCCGATATATCTCCGGGCTGGAAGTCCACTCCTGCCTGCGTACGTGGCTTGATCTTCAAATCACATCGGTCCGAGATGTTGTCTCTTGTCGAAGTTAACTAACGTTTTGATGAAGGTTGGACTCACCTGTCAGAAACAAGGTCAGATGTCAGGAAACCAAGAGGCTTAGTTAAATGAATTACTACCTTACCTTTTATTACCTTTTTTTTGTCTATTTCACACGACATTTTGGGGTAAGCCATTTCTAGTATAAAAAAACGGGTCCACACTGAAAGGATTTCTAATATAGGTATTGGTATTTATTTTTCTAGTAACACCTTTTTCTTCACTCTGTACACAATCTGTGCACTTCTGTTTTCCCAATCCTCCTCCTCTCTCGCCCTCTCCTCCTCCGTCTCCTACCCCTCCTCCCCTCCCTAAATACTGCATGTTGCTGTCCCACCTATCTGCGCTCATTGGCCTCTGGACCCAGTGAAGCTCTTTGCCCAGAAGTGGTCGATGACCGCCGTCATCACCGTCTCCACCAGGGCGACGCGGGGCCATACGATTGATCTCTGTCATGTTCCTTCTTATTGAGAGACTCCAGAGCCTGAGGCTATGGTGTAGAAAAGAGGAAGGAAAAGAACATCCAAAAAACATTTTTATGGATGTAGGAAGATAACATAATGTTTGACCTCCAGAAAAGTACACCACACAACAATGACAAGAGGTGCTTACATTAGCAGGAAAATGGAGGCAGTCACTCACCAACTCATACAGTTCAACAAATATGCAAGGAATTATTTAAACTGGACACACTTAATGGAGGAAAGTGTGAACAGAGATAACGCAGACAGAGATGGATTAGTAAAAAGTCAACAGGAAGAGCCTCACCCTTAATGGCATCTTGCAGTGCTGGCAGGGACCTCGTCCAGATCTTCTTGTGCGTTCTCAGCCATGGGCTTTACACTGCAGCTCTTCTGCCTTGATTTTCTTATCTGCTAGCACTCACCACCTAAACACAAACAGAATATGTGTAAGTAGGTTGCGAAACCACATCACTTCCTTGAACAAATGAGTTCTTTAATCCATTAAGTTAGTGTATATGTGTTTGGTGCTTACATCCTTCTGTTTGTTAGCTTCTCTCTTCTGCTGCACAATGACGGCCAGGTACTCGTCACACTGTTTCTGGAACTCGGCCACCTGGATCTTGGCTTCCTCCAGCTCTACAGACATAGCCTCCACCTTCACCCGCGTGTCGCTGATCTTGAAGAGGCCATTACTCAGTTTGCTCACCTGCTCCCCCAATTCCCTGCGTTTCTCCTCCAACAACCTGGAGGGAACCACACATGAAGCAATAGTAAGTGGTGCGAAAACCGAAAAAAAAGAAACAAGAATAAATGAAGAACTCATTTCGAAGGTCCCTACTTCTTGTATCCAGACACCAGCTCCAGGTAGTTGGTGGGGGTCACATAATTATTTCTCTTCAGCTCCATTTTCATCCTTTGGGAGATCTGCACAACCGACTGGTGTGTGGTCACAAAGATACTGGCAACCTTTGTCTGGATCTACAACATCATGCAGCATATGTAACAAGTTAATCAGGAACTTCAGGATACACATTTTTTATGATTTATAGATTGATCTGGTTATTGATGTTAGTCTCAGACCAAGGTTCAGTGCAGTTCGCAGTTAAAGTTAATAGAGATATAGATAACAGATTTCTGTTTTCTACACTAGAAACCTTTTCATGTGAGTTTTTAAACAGTTCTCAACGTTTTTTGAAAATAACTGACCTTTTAATAATGTGGAAGGTGTTTAATTTAACATAACACTAAAGTGATATCAAGTGAAATGCTTGATGTCATACAAAATGTTTACTGGGCATCAAAAATTAGGGCGCTTCCTGTGAAAAAACTGAGAAAAAAGCACCAGTTTTACTGTGAAAAATCTATTGTGTGACGTGCATGCATCCCTCACCCCCTCAAAGGAGCCCAGATCCAGTCCATCCAAGTACCGCTCAGCGACTTCCAGCAGAGCCTCTTTGGGCCACTCACAGAACCAGTCAATGGTGGTGCAGTTAACCAGCGCTGGGTAATGGAGGATGCGGTCCCTGATGGCAAACATTGTGGATATTATGATGCCCCTTATAGCAATGTGGTCAGAGGGTCTGTTAACTAGAGCAGGTGCATTTGGCGGTTGGTTAGACAAAAAATAAAGCCACTATGGATGTCATTCAATGTCCCTTAAACTAATGCTGCCTTTTGTGACAACAAGCTCTTTATTTATAGAAAGACTCGCACGCTTATGGCAGTCAAAATTGCTTTTAACAGACCAATTTTTATATAAATTCCTACGATAAGTAGCATCAGAGTAGCTGTAGAACTACAGTGCGAGTGTGTGAGTTTAGCTGGTTAATTTGTGTAGCAGACTCTCTGAGCCCTGGTGATGTGATATGGCTCCTGCTGGCAGTCAGAGGGCCAGAGTACGGTGGTTAGCTCTGGGTAATGATGCCTGTGAGCCCAATTAGTGGCATTTTGTGTGACCAGTACCCTGTGCCACTACTTGGAAATGGGCCATTAATGCTTGAAAGGTTTTTTTTTGTGGAAGAAATGGGTTTGTAAATATATGTTATAAGCAGAAAATGTGTGACCCCAGTGTAACTTTGAAAAGCGGCTGAGAGGCACTGCAGGGAATAGTTACCCTGTACATGACCACCAGAGCATAGAATTTACCTTCATTAACAAACACAAGTGCCTCGGATGTGTCTGCTTGCCTGGGTCAAAAATGCATCAACATGCATATTATCTTTTCCTCTTTCATTCAGTTAATATAAAATATTAGCAAAACATGTCTAGCGAGAGTTGAAGACATGACTGTGAGTGCCAATATGTTGTCGTGTGTAAAATGCAAAAATGATCCAATAAAATAATAACGTTGTTTATATAAGTTACTTGTTGTTAGGGCAACAATGCATGCTGGGACATTTTGGGATTGCAACATGATTCATGCTGTTCCATAAAGCTGAGCAACAAGAGCTAACAGGATCCTCAAACAGAGGGGGAAAAAAGATAAAGGAGGAACAGATTGTGCTGCAGGATTAAGACACAGTGTGCGGCGAGGAATACAACCTGTATGTACCTGAAGGGCTCTCCCACTGGGCTCATACAGAGCACGATGTGCAGGTTGTTCCGGACTCGCTCTATCAGGTAACTGAACAAGGACTCAGGAGTCTCCACCACTTTGTCTTTCCTGGCAAACTCTGACAGAGCACTGCACACCTGGAGGTTAGAAGGCAACAATTACATATTTTAAGAATTTGAAATAGGTATCAAGTTATTTGAGACACCCTTTTGGGTAGAAAGGATGCGGACACAGGTTTACATTGATGATAGTTAAAAAAAATAGATTTTTATGGCCGTTGTTTAAATTTGTCCTTTGTTTTTCATGTGTTTTTTGTATGTGATAAATTGACTAAGCTATAACTGCATTTTGTTGTGCAGGCATGTGTTGAGGAATTCATCTAAATTATCTCTAAATCTCTTATATAAACGTTAATGATCTATAGAGGCACAAGATCCTACGGTAGGCAAGTTGCAATTATATTGGAGGCTGTGTGTTACTGTAAACATTCAGAATTTAGATTTGACCAAACACGATTTTGTCCTATTCAAATTCTTCTTAATGTAAAAACAAATTCCTGGGAATGTACTGTAATGATGGGTTTGATGGAGCTATTGCATTCCTAGTATTTTATGTCAAACCACAGCCAAGATCATTGTCTTTTGTTTTTTCACTAGGTTTGGTTTAAACATTTAGTTCATCCAAAAGATTTTGAAGACAATACAGACCTCAACAAACTCGTCCTGTTTGTAGAGGTTAGGCACCTCTCCAGAGCTCAGGACGTTATTGATATCCTCCAGGAAGGATTGGTCCACGATCTGTGTGTCATTGAACAGGAAGACTGTGGGCTTGTTGTCCACACCGGTCAGCCGGTATAGCTTCTTTATGTCTGAAAAAAAGGATAAAGAACTCAACAATATATAATGACTGAAGATGGGATGTGAGGAACTGAATGACCAAAGACAGATTATATATTCAAAACTATTTTGACTATTTCAGCCAGGCACTAACATTTGTCATGCGTTACACTCAATACTCAAAAACATATGCTCATTGATCTTGTTAAATGTCCTTCTTTAGTTTCAATATTTATTGTTTCAATATTCCAACAAAAGGGGACACCGTCATGCTATATGTATCTCAAACATCTGTAAATATAGAAGTAGTAACCTTCTCTGAACTCCTGTTTCCGGTATTGCTTGGTGACTTCCACCTCGAACACCTGGTATTCACAGATGTAGGCGGCCATCTTCGACAGGCTCTGTCTACCGGAGCCTCCCACACCTACAAGAAGCATGTTGCCCCTGAGCTGCCTGATCACACGCACAATGCGAGTTACTGTGAAGAGAAAACAAAGGAATTATCCAGATCATCATTTCTGTAGTTTTTTTTTTTTAAACCTATATCATTATGTGACACACTTTTCTATTTCCATTTCTTATGAATAGTGTGGAATCTGTTCTAATATTAGCATATCACTGGTTATGCCTGCACACTGACAAACCAGTGCAACACACACACACACACACACACACACACACACTAGTGTTGCTCCATGTTGTTTCTGCAGTAATGTAGTGCNTTTGTTCTACAAGAAGGACTTCAGATTTCTTCAACAAACCCACAATTCCAACCATGTAACAGACTAAGTGTACACACACACACACACACACACACACACACACACACACACACACACACTAGTGTTGCTCCATGTTGTTTCTGCAGTAATGTAGTGCTATTGATTTGCAGTGGCGTGGGGTAAAGTGTCAGATTGACAGCAGTGTCTGGAGAGCAGAGCCTGCTGCTGAGAGGCCTTCTCTCTCCACTGCAGCGTAGCTTTGAGCTGCGCCTCATGCACTGTTATTTCAAAAGGAGCTTCAAACTAGGCCTGAATCATAAATCTGACAAACAGTGAACACATCAAAGACACATCAGAGAACAGCACTCGAGGACCTCTTACATTGATCGTGGTAATGTACGGGATTGACAGCACAGAATGGGATGGAGGGAATTTACTCTTGAGGGAATGTTGTGTGTCTGTCTTCTGTGTGTCTTTTTAAATGTGTATAAAAGTGTGTGTGGATGTGTCTTATTGTATTTTCAGACGCACCGTGTTCAATAGCATCTCGGAAGAGCACCAGGCTCATGGGCACTACGCCAGGAGTCAGGCTGTAGTCCTCCAGCTGGGTCTCCATGAACTTCTTGAGACCCTTCATGTCCGTTAGGTCCTCATACACTTGAGAGTCACTCATGAAATCACCTGACAAACACACAGAAATAATCAGGTGTCAAGTATCTGTCAGTTTGTTTACACTCATTGGTTTAAAATGGCTGTGTGCATAATGGTTTATGTACCAAATATTGGCGGTTGTTTGTTGGGGCAGATGCTGTGGAAGGTGAGGTCAAAGAGGGAGCCCAGTTTCTCCCCCAGTAGAGCAACAAATGCCTCAGAGTCACTGTGATCCACCAGCCGGTCTGAGACAACCCTGGAATCAACAACAAAACATCAACAACAAATATTATCCAATATAAACACCAAAACAAGCAGCATGGTTTGCCCAATGTAAAGTTGATATATCCCAGGGCTCAGCTTTTGGCTAAATATGCATGACATCACTTTCATAATGAGGCTTGAAGTATAGTGAATATGTAATATGAATGTGAAAAGGTAAAACATTTTCTTTCTTACCTAAAGCACTCATGGATCCACAGTCTAGTGATGCTGTTTTTAGTATCATGGAAGTCTGGATGAGCTCTAAGCAGACCTTGAAACACCTAGAACGGGGAGAAATAAGGAGACAGAGAACCTAGAAATTACAGAAATATTTGACTTCAAAGATACTCTCTTCCAATGTGAAACCGTATTATAGGTAATATATGTATCTGTGTCTGTGTGTGTGTGTGTGATGTGGGTACGCGTGTATCGATTTGACCCTTCTTAATGTACTAACGTGTACCTTAGAGATATCCCTGAGGTTGAAGAGGTAATGGATCTTGGCTGGAGTTGGAAGGAATCGAGCTGAAACAGCATAATACAGCTCTAAGGTGGCCTGAGTCAGAATTTCTCCAATGGGCTTTACCTCCTCCTTAAAGCCCTGCAGCTTTTGGTTGATCATGGTACTGTAGATCCGCCTAATCTGGGACTCCTGCACAGAGAAAGAACGGTCTGTTTAAGCTCGTTGCATCTCTTTCACTAAACACCAATGTCCATGAAATACATGGATTTAAAAGTTGTACTGGTGAAAGAAAGAAGAACAGAAGAGGAATTGTATAAGGGATGCAATAAATTCATTTCATGTTAGCACATTTTTACATTCAAGGGTGAGGCAACTCAAGTGTTGGCTTCGTGAATGCAATATTGCTTCAGCCAATTTCAAAAGCAAATCTATTTTGTTCTCTTGTGGCAATACAAAAAACCAGAGTACACTACAAATAGAAAGAAATAAAGCTGGGCTGGGAAAGGTTAAAAGGAACACAACAACAGAGATGAAAGCATGCCAGAAAATTGAAAAAGACTAAAAAGATACAAGAGGTGAGCTGGAGAGGGAGTGAGCAATGGAAGTACACAAATGCACAATAGAAGAAAACAAGAAAAGATATGATGAAATGTCTGGCAGATGGACTCACCAGCTAAAATGTACATATGTGTATGTCTCTTTTAGTTAAATGAGAAAACGGTCAAAACTACTCAATATGATTCCTGGGTATTTGTATTATATTTTTTATTCCATATCGAACGTTTTCCTCAGTGCTTAACAAGGAAAGGTCGGATGAATTATCAGTAGGACTTACATGAGGGAAGGTCATATTGATGAGATTGAATCGACTCTGTAGGCGGCCAGAGATGTGAGTCCTCCCTCCACCTGGGGGCCCCATAGATGCCATCAAGAACATGTCCTAACACAGCAGACACACAAACACAACAGAAAAGAGCACATGTATTGGCCTCAGAGGAACATACTTAAGAAATAAAAATACAACACATGTAAAGGTCATGTCCCACACACGGACAAAGAACAATAATTAAGCAACAAAAGCGCCATTACTCACCTTGACAAACTTTAAGGTCTGTTTCTGGCGGTCGTACCAGAAGCCGTAGTCGATCCAGAGATGGAGCAGCTCCAGCGGTGGCTGAGAGCCGAAGAGGTCGTGCGCTGGCATGTTGAGGTCGTCCAGGAAACACAGCAGGCGCTTCCCCCCCGCTGGCACAAACACGCCTTTGGTTCTCTTCTCTATGCGGCTCTCCACGATGGCCTGGATGTTATTAGAGGTGGTCTGCACAGGGATGGATACAAAGAGAGAGAGAGAAAGACAGAGATGCAGTCATTCAGAAAAGGGAACAAATACAGTTTATTGTGAAAATGCATGTATAATTATGTATTTAAGAAGGTGTTTTAGTTTATTAACCAAATGAGACAGTGTCTTGGCTTGTTGGCTAAAAGGAATACATTGTTGTATCTGTATAATATACTTCATGTAAATATAAAACCTTACATAGTATTATCAAAATCTTGACACTTTTGATGAGTCATTTGTGGGATTAACTATGGAATGTAGCTATGACATTCATATCAATACTTTTTGAGAGTTTTGAGCGATTGACACAAATCTTGAATCTTGAAAATGTAACAATAAACTGTCCACTGAAAGCAGCAGTCATGCATTCACTGACATACAATTACGAGTAGCTTAAAACACTTTTTAAAATACAAACAAATGAAATGACATGAGGAAAGAAACTTAACTAAACTAACCACAACTACTAGTAGTAGTGTGTTTGTGAAGGTTGACAAAAACGTATCACAGAAGAGTGTGGAGGGAAAAGTGGTGGGGACAGCACTCCCGAATTGGTGATAATGGTGGTAAAAGTGTGGTGTAAATGAGTGCCTACATTATATCCCTTCATCACCGCTATTCAGCAATGACTTTGTCCACTGACTCTAATTGCAGAGAAGCTGAGATGGAGGCTATTCAAAGCCATGATGTGGTGGGATGGAGGCAGTTTCATTCACTCACACAGACATTTGCACAAGCACCCCCTGTACTCAAACACCTCTATGTGACTGTGTCTCATGCTGCAAGTGAGGGGGGAATATACATATAAATATAAATGCATATTGGGGTAAAAATATCACATCTTTTCATGAGAAAAACAGAAGCAAGGGGTAGATTCAAGGAAAGACAAGAAGCCAGAGACTGAGCATCAGCCAAAAACAACACATTTCTTTGGAGATAGACTTTTACAGTGTTAGAAGAATAGGGAATAACACATACACACACACAGACAATGCAGAGGCACTAACCTGTGAGGACATGTTGACAGTGAGGGAAGACCACTTGTTATCCAAGCCGTGCAGGATGCTCTGGGCCACTGAGGTTTTTCCAGTGCCCACGGGCCCAGTGAGCAGCACTGGGTACCGACCCATCACCAGAGCCTTAGCCAGGAAGTTGTAGCGAACTGTGTCCACTGTGGGAACCATGATCTTATAGAATGGAGCACTGCAGCAGGAATGGAAACAGACATGGTGGGTTATACCGTCTTTCTTTATGCAGATTCAAGAGTAATATTCAGTGGGTTGGCAGACAGCGGATGTCTGATACAAAGGACCACCAGGTCACTTACCTAGCATTGTATCGCCAGCCCTTTGGCAGTTTCTCTTCAAAGGAAGCCCAGGTTTTATTCTTGGTGTCCACATAGTACTCATAAACCGTGTCCTGAAAGAGTTTACAATTCAAGTTTAGAGACGCTTATGTATGTTATTTAATTTTTGTATTACAATTATTATTTGTATATCTGTTTCAGATTTTTATATACATGGGCTTCTGGAGTAATCTATGCTAACAGTGGTTAATCTTGAACTATTAATTATACGGCTTTAGTAAATAACATTGTTATCTGTATGCATATACTTGTATGACATTTCTTTACTCTTTCTTCTCATGTTTCGCTATTGTATTACTATTTTGTCACCCATCAATGCCCTGGTTCCATTTTAGATTTTCCTTTTTTAATATTTTTTGATTCTTATGTATTATAACGTTTCTAGTTTCTTCGCCATGAGATTATAGCCCTTATACCTAAAACAATGCTTTTTTTTTTACAAGCTATGCTTTCTGCCCACATGTTTCAATTTATTTTCTTGTGCCTTGTGGGTTTATATTAATATTGAATAGGTTATTTCTCTCATCGAGCCTGCCCAAGCCAACTTGTCCTTTTTATGCAAAACGTAATTTAGCCGAGGAAATTGCTAACAGTACACTTAACACTGGCCAAGTAAGCAAACTAGTGCTGAGTGTTTGACTGATGTTGTATGTCACAAGTGTGTTAACAAGTATTGTGCTCTATAGAGGACCTTGCTGGGGAAGGCGCCCTCTATCTCCCGCAGGAAGTTGTCCATCCTCTTGCGTCCATTTTCGTCTACAGAGGCACAGACAGACCAGATGAGGCTGAAGATGAACCAAAGCTCCACCATCCTACCCAAGTTTTCTGTGTCCGAAGTATTCACCTGGAGAGAGGGAGAAGAAACATATTACTTACTCACACACTTAGGCTTTATTTCAGTTATGAGTCTAAAAACAAATGCAATTTTTCATAAATATTAAGTTATGATGGAAAGTGGTTGTCCATGAGAGGGGTGTGCAGTGGAGGCTACAGATTGCACTTTGTCTCACCCCATTGCTGGGTGTGGCCAGGGAGTCATAGAGGCGGCAGAGAGAGGTTACTCCGTTCAGCTCAGTGATGGAAATCAGCTCCTTGCAGTTTGTCTTCTTAAAGTTCAGTGTGCTTTCCGTGTATTTCTCAAACAAGCGCTTTAAGTGGACCCCTTCAGCCTGTGGAGAAATGAGGCCCCAAATCATCAGTAGATATAAATGGAACAATAAGGGGTCCAGAAAACAAGGAATAAAATGGATGTCATTAAAAAAAAGTAAGTGCATTATTAGGATTGAATGCTCTGCACCTTGTTTCGCTTGTCCAGCCACGACTGGACAAAAGGCTTCCATCCCAGGTCAGTGTAATCGTTGTAGACCATCCCACAGCGAGACACTGTAGCTGGAGAGGCCTGTGCTAGGTTCTCAGCTTCAAACAGCAGAGACACCTGGGACAAAACTATTTAGGAACTTTATCTACTCAAGAGACAATCAATTTCAAACAAAGAAGGTCATTAGTTTGTAAGACGTTTCCCTTTCAAGCTTCTTCCTCTTTCTAATCATGTTAAGTACATTTGTATTGTTCGAACCTGTTCAGGCATGGAGATTCGCTCTCCATTGATGAGTGTGAGCACCTTGTTGTCATCCATCACAGAGTTCATACTCTCTATCCACAGTGTGTCAACAGGCCCGTCAAATATGATCCACTTCTCATCTGGTTTCTCATCTAAAGAAAAGAAAGGGAGATGCAGGTATTGACATTCAAATTATGAGTGACATGGAAAACCACATTTTTTAACACTACCATTTTTTTATGTATAGTATTACCACTCTAAAAGCAAGTGGAATTTGACTTTGTTGACAAAACTCTATAAGACAATATAAGGATTTAATTTGATGTTCAGTTGAAACACGTGTTTGCATGACCAGCAATGTGTGTTTTAGTGTCAGCACCTGCGCATGCTGATCTCATGAGTGAAGACAGAACTCCATCAGACCACTCGTTGGTGGAGAGGTCGTTTTCTCCATACAGCTCTCCCAGACTCAGGGCCTTGGGGTTCAGAGGATAGTCCTGTATCACAGGGACCAAGGCATAAAAGACAAATGATAAACAAGAAGAGCAATATTATGGTAGATTATAATTACTGATGTCAGCTAACAAATGAGATCACTAGCTTTCAGGGACATTTAATATTTTAGCGCCTGAATTGATTAGGGTAAAGATATCACAAACCTAGATTCATTTTAGTAACATTTTAAGAAACACTTTTGGTGTACTTCTTGTGTGTGTATGTGTGTGTGTGTGTGTGTGTGTGTGTGTGTGTGTGTGTGTGTGTGTGTGTGTGTGTGTGTGTGTGTGTGTGTGTGTGTGCCTAATTTTGTCTGCATGAGCATGTAGGTGAAACACGATCAGAAATAGAAGGTAGAGTATCTCTGTGGAGACAGGCAGTAAAGAGGAACAAAGAGAGAGAGATAATGAGAGCCAGAGAGAGGTGAGGCACCAGAAATAGATATGCAAAAAGCACAGGGGGGAAATAGAGAACAAGAGGTAAAAATAAAGACAAATAGGTAGAAAGAAAGCAAGATGAAATGTAAGGCTAGAAAGAGAAGCAGGAAGAAAACATGTCTGTCATTCTAAATGGCTGTTGACTCGTTTTGTGACCCTAAAACGTTCTTTTTAGTTTTAAGAAGCGGTAAATGACAGCGTGTTCTTGTCCATCCACACCCACCTGGACCAGCTCATAGTCAGGCACTCCTTTTTGATGCAGGGTGGTGAGGGCCTTCTGCAGAGTCCTCCAGGTCACACTCTTACCACTGCCTGTCTTGCCCACCAGCATGGTGGAGTGTCGAGAGTTTTTGGTCTCATAAAGTTGGATGACCTTGGTCAAGGTGAAAGCATTCACCTGCAAACCGCTCTGACAAAGCTCCGCCTCTATAGCCTCCCTCAGCTGCAACACAATCACAGAAAAAGATAGACGGATGATGGTGATACCCAGAGTGATATTGTACAGATAATGATGATATATGGACCACAATGTACCGAGTCAAGTTCATGATTTTAGTTTGTTAACATATTTATACAGTTTATGACTGTGCTCTCAAAGCAAACCTTACCAAACACTAATTCTCTGCGAGAGCTGATCTGGACTGCTGACTTACCTTGCCATAATCTATGACGGGTGTTTCCACAGCAGGAAACAGGTCCTGGGTGATTCCATTGAACAGCGGCACGTCAGCAGAAGTCAGCTTAGCAATGTTCATGTCTTTCATCGCCATCAGTAGGATCTGTGGACAGAGAACATAATTACATCTATAATGGAAATGTTAGTTCATTTGAACGGGAGGACTGTTGTTAGTTTTGTTGAATTAATAGATCATTGTTTCGTATAATTTCACATTGTAGTAAAAGGTGTCGATAGATGATGCAGTCACAGCATCTACGTACTTACTTCTTGATCCGCCATGGAGTTGCACTAACTTTACATCTGGGAGAAGGCCATTTGATTTGACTAATTCAGACCATTAGACAGGTTTGTTGTAGAAAGTGAGCGTGACAAAGAAAGACCTACTTCTTCATCAGGAACGTTGCAGCAAAAGCGTCTCTTCTGTCCAGCATAGCGGAGCAAGGAGGTGAGGGCACGCAGGCCAAAATCATAGTGGTCCTGTTGGGACAGCTGCTGCACTGCCAGGGAGTACAGCGTGAACACCTTCTTAGCCAGGAGCTACGAGGACAAAGGCAGAAAACCAAGGTGACTCAGAGTAACAGAAACATCCACGCCCACCACTGATCATGTTCAGCTGAAGCTACAGTCGTTCTGATTTTACAACAAGATTATTATTAATGGCATGTACACTGATAACTCATTTCTAATGAAGTTATCAGTGTAGAATAACTCAATCCCATGTGCTGATTGCCTGAGCTCTTCACATAAAAGAAGCGGGAATGTTTCATTAAGGCTGTGACAATTCGAAGATATTCTTTAGAAATCGGTGCGACTATGAGCTGTGTACAGGGTAAAAATAGCACGCAGATTGAATTCATTAATCAGATACATACACTATACTATCTGTGGTTATTGAGAAGTGAGAGGGTTTTCTTATAGATACAGAGTAATGCAATATTTCCATGCTCCTGAATAGATTGTGACTCTAAATTCTGGCCTGAAACCACCAGACTAACCCTGGTTACAATGAGTACATTTACTGTACATGCACACATGTAGTGTGTAATAGTATTATCCTGGGAAACGTATACTATGCACATTTCTAAAATCGGGGTATTATTTACTTCCCAACACACTATCAGAATACTCAGATGAAAATCAGATGAAAAACCATGCTATAAGTGTGCATGTTAACATATAGAAAGACACAGATACCAGTTTTTCCCCCAGCATAATACAAGTCTAAAAGTCCTTAAGTTTCAGTACCTTGCAGTTGTTGAAGCCTTCTCCAAACAGAATGATCTCAGCGATTAGAGTTGAGTCTGGCACCACCATGGAGATGGGCCTGAACATGGCTTTCAGGTTATCTGGGAGCTCGGAACGACCAGCGTAACCTAGGGAAAAACAGACAGAACAAAAAAGATTATAAAGGGGCGGCTGTGGGCTGGTGCGCTGATCCTCAGATCAGGGGAGCAGCCACTGCAGTCAACATGCTGTTGGGTATTGTCCACAGTATTGATGTATTCCATGTGTAATATATGTAATATGTAATGTAAAGCGCTTTGAGCACTTGTAAAAGCGCAAACAATAGATGCAATGAATTATTATTATAATAATAAACCTTGAAAGAGCAATTTATCCTCTGGAAAATGCTTAAAGCACTTTTGCAACGTAATGTATGCTTTTGGGCGTTAGTGTGGACCTACCAGGATTCATGGTGATAAAGATACCACATGACCAGACCAGGCCTATGTGATGTCCTTCAAAATGGAACTTTGTTTGTCCGGCTGAGAGGGCAGACAGGATGAAGAGGATCTGCTGAGCCACTACCGACAACACCTCAATGTTGATTCTGTTGAACTCATCAAAGCACCCCCATGCTCCTGTCTATTTAGTGTTGACACAATAAAATACATTCAAATCACACATTGATCCAAAAACACATGTAGTTTCAAATCCATTGTTCCTACCTGTGCCAGTCCAGAGAACATGCGTCCCATGGATTTGTAGTCCAGTCCTTCAGAGCAGTTGACTACAATGACATACATGCCGAGAGCTTTGCCTAAGTCTTTCACTGTCTCTGTCTTCCCAGTCCCCGCAGGACCTTTAGGAGAGCCCCCCCGGTGCAGATGGAGGGCTGTGGTCAGGGTCATGTAACACCTGGACACAGAAAAAAACAGACGTTGGCTCTACAGATAATTATAGTACAAACACATATTTAGATACAAGCAAATATGATCAGATATTTTCATTTCAAGCAATAACTAAAAAATGTAATAAGCATATATCAAAACATTGAAAAAAAGACCTTGATGTAGCCTTTATTGCAATTATGAATCTAGTGTTAAGACAATTCACATTCAAATGTGCATTGTCCTTTAATCTGTAAATGCACTAATAAAGGTATGATATATATATAATCAAGTGATTACACTACAGTAACAATCCTAATCACTTAATATTTAAGTACCGTACACACATAAAACTGAAGTTTGACTGATTGATGTGCTGTTGCATTTGTTGCTTGGTGCACTAATTGACTGACTGAATGATTGATGGCTACCTGTCAGTCAGTGGAGTGATGACGAGGCGTCCGGAGTTGCCCAGGTACTCGTAGCCGTACTTGAAACGTGTGTTAGTCTGTCGGATTATGCAGTCTTCGGATTCCTATTGGGAAGATAGATAACATTTTAAAATGCAAGTTTAGTGGATGTTTTTTTTTATTTCCAACTTAGCTGAAAAATGATCTTTTGCTGCTATTAGACAGCCAGGACATAAAGTGGTAGAGAGCGGGAAATTCTGAAAATAGTGAGTAAAGTGTGAGGGGATATGTTTGGGTAAGAGTGTTTTAAAGTATACCTTTAACTGCCATAAAAGAGGTTGCATCAATGCATAAAACAATACTTTTCTAAACCCATACCCACCATTAAAGTATTGCTTTCCGCTTTGAAATGTGTAAATCATGGATAAAAGTTTTTGCATGTCTTTTTCTCCACACTGTTTCCTGCTCTTGCACTTCTTGGAGCATACCTTGTCCCAGTAGAGTCGCAGCTGAGAGAGCCACTCAAAGGCATTAACGTCATTGCAGCCTGCCTTGGCCAGTTTATCTATGACATCCCGAGCATGAACCTCCACTGTGACCAGCGCTACGATCTTCAGACGGAGGACTTTGGACAGGTTGCCACGGATGAGCTCTGAATAGCAGTGAAGCATTGAGACCTGAAAACAGTTATAGCAAAGGCTCAGAAGTTTACTGGGATCCTTTTCTCTTCTTTAAATGATTATATTGGCTATCGAAAGAACTCAAAAGGATGGTTTAAACATATTGAAAATAAATCTCTAACCGGATCAAAACACATTTTACATCCTACGGTAGTACAGAACTTTCCTCTTGTTGGATGGAAAGACCATCACAGTCAGTTCACTCTAAATGATTCTAGTTTAGTTAAGCAACAAATAGCAAACCTGTTTCTTCTTCATGGATTTAAGGGACGATTTGTCACCCCTCTCCTTGCAGGTGAAGAGCGCTTTGGTGACATCGATGGTCCACTGGATCTGACTGGCTGTGATCAGCATCTACAATTATAGGAAGAATACACGCTTCATTACTTTTGAATGTAAAGCTTTGTTCCTGTTGATATAAATAGAGAAAGGTTAAAGGGAGTTTAGAAGGAACTTGGATTAGTAAATCACAGCTATTCAATATATCAAGAGCATGTCACTGAATTAGTGTCAGTCTGTCAGGATGTGTGAATTTGCAAAACCACAATGGGCAGTTATAGAGAGAAAAGACAAATAAAAATGTACCTGTCCCGGCCAATCTTTGACCCATTTGTCTCTCTGTCCTGACATCTTCTTCAGAGACACAAGGCAGCCGCTCAGATAATCCTTTAGTGTATCACGCATGCTTAACTCAACATCACACAGCCAAACCTGCATAACCACAACACAAAATGGTGCTGAAATCTCTCACAACTCTCTGTATTGTACACATTAGCACCGATGCTATCATGACTACACATCTATCAACAGAACACTCATATCAACACGATCATGACATTGATCATCACCGCTGTACCTCCACAGGTTTGTCCAGATATACTGTTGCAAAGAAGCTGATAAACTCCCCATCAGCAGAAGACATCCCGACCGCCAGTGGTTTATTTATCTATAGAAGAAACACACACACACAGAATGGCATAATGGAGATTCTGTTAAATAATAATATAATAAAGTTTTTTTCTAAGATTAAAAATAACTAAGAAATACCAGGCACATAGCACCGGAACAGCGTTTTTTTTGTCTGAGGGCAATGCAACATGATATAACAAACCATCGTGCATTTACTAATCTTATCCTAAACATATGTGTAGAATAAGTATTTTCAACTCATATTTCCTCCTAATGCAAAGGGAATACTAAGGGTACAGTAAGAACACATTGACAATAACCAAGCATTTTAAATATGCTCGACAATTAAATAATTTCCATAAAAATAATAATTTAGCTTACATAAAAGCCTTCTTAGATTTTGTACCAAAGTGAATATGTTAATAAACACAGGCAGTGTAAATCTAACTGCGACTTAATGGCCTTAAGTTAATATTTCTTAGAATAAGTATGTATGTGTATTTTGTCATTATTTTTGTGATCCCTGCCTTGTCAATCTTCAGGCTCTTGATGTTGTCGAAACACTTCTTCATGTGGGGCTGCATGGCTTCTGGGTTCTGTGACTGCCCCAGGATCTCCAGTAAATCATCGTTGGACAGGAAGTAAAATCGGGGGAAGATCTGCCTCTTGGTCTCCAGGTACATGTCCAGGGCCTTCTGGATCTCCTCCAGCTTCATACTCATCTCTGACAGCTTCTCCGGCAAGCCTGGAAGCCAGAGAGGGGAAGCTAGTTGAAGACTAAGTTCTAAATATAATTGTATTTATCCGTCAGATGGTGTGAATCCATGTCCATGTTGTCGTACCGGCGTGGTGTGTTCCCTGCAAGGCGTTGTTATCCTTGTGGAGTCGGCCCATGATGGTCTCCCAACTAGAACTAACCTCTTCGAACTCTTCGCACTCACAAGGCAGCTGCTCCCTGATGTCCTTACCTTGGAAAATGTTCTGGAGGGAGGAGAGACAGAGAAAGAGTGCTCAAACACTCCAATAAGACCAGATGATAAATGTGTGCTTCGACAGATGATGGGAATACCCCTGGAAATGAATGAATCATTTAACACAGTAGAGTATGTGAGTGCTTCCCAAACCTCCAGATAAATCCACTGACGCTGCACCGTGAGGATCATCTCGATGACTTCCAGCACCTGTGACAGCCGCCGCTCCCAGCTGTCCACCTCCCGCTCGAAGGCTTTGACAAAGCGAGAAGCTTTCATTGTTGACAGAATGACCATGTTGTCATCCAAGGCCTGGAAAACCTCCTCTGTGCTCCTGGGAGAGACCAAGAGGGACAATTATGGTTGCTGAAGATTGCTTGAAATGGATTCCAATGGTGAAAGAGCAGAAATTAAGTTTATTATGTACAAGGTACAGTTAAGGTTGATGTAATGCAGTTTCTCAGTTACTTGATTGTCACTAGTTTTTTTTTAATAATAGTACTGTGCTCAAAAGGAATACTCCAGCATTAGTCATATTTCATTAGGTTTGGTTCAGACCTTTGGTAAATAAAAAAGTAATCTATACAGTACACGTTTAGTAGGTTTAATTTTCAGTACCTTTCACATATCCTTAATTTTCTCTTTTTGCATTACAACCTCACAGTTCCATGTTTTTTACTGTGGGCAAGTGGCAGACAGTAGTCTTCCCCCCCTCCTTCAAATCAGTGGCAATTTATTTGGCTGCTAATAAAACTGTGTCTGAGATTTGACTAGATTCATTTGTATATGCAACAGATGGCCTCTGCTGTCCTGCTTCCACCAGCCAGGCTGTCATTCTTCCTTCTCTTCTCTAACGACAAACCAACTCCCATTTTATTCTGACTCCTCCAAAATGGCTGTTCAAATATGTATCAATCTGGCATTAATGTCACATATGCTCTCCACTATACAGCCATGCTACAGAGGCATTACTGTAAACGCTAGATTGATACATCACCAGATGGCAGTTGTACTGAGCTGTGGGATCTAATGATGCATGTAAATAAGACATCATGAAGACACAAATCTATCCCCATTATATAAATGGAGTGCATCAGCCAGGGTTACAGTAACAGCTGCTTTAACCGTTCAAGGCTTGCTTTCTCACATCAGCCGGAAGTGGCCTTTGTCTTTGTAAGGTGTGATGTCCAAGAGTGTGTCCGTCCAGGTCTTGATAATGTCCTCCAGGCTCTTAATTATCAAACACAAAGAGTAATGTTAGCATACAGAGGTCCTTTCCGATCTTTTCATTTTTCAACATAAATCTAAAAATGTTTCTCGATTGTCTTTTTATACAATCATTATTTGTAGTCTTGCACTTTGGAAGTACCGGTATTCGTACAGACTAGAATACATAAGCTAAAGCTACACATCTGCCCACTGAGCATCAGTGTAGACTCGAGGAAGTGACTGGACCTGTTCTATGGAGAGTTCCTTGCTGGAGGCTCCAGAGATCTCACAGATCTTCTCAGTATACCTGTCCAGGCCCAGAGATATGATCTTATCCAGGGTGAATTCAGTGCTGGTTTGGTCAAAGGAGCACTGCAGCTCGTCGCAGATCTGCTTCCAGTGCCTGAAAGAAAGGTGGCATTGAGAGCAGGGTTTGTCCTGAATGTGAGTTTGAAGTAAAAAGTAAAGAAAGCTACCACCTCCCAGGTAAGACACTTCACAAACAAAACAATAGTTCCGAACTATACTTTAATGACAAGGAAACACATGTAGATTATTTAAGTCAATACCTGTCTCTCATGGCTGGGTTCCTCAGATCAGCAATGAGAGGGATGATCCTCTTAAACTGGTCTATCTTATTCTTGGTGAAATCCACAATGTCCCACTCCTTATCCTGCAGGCAGACAAAGATCAGGTCGTCTCTACTGTGTAATATTTATGTTAGAACTGCTGCATTTTGCCGATATTGTCATCAAATGCAGTGTGTCCTGGAGGGCATATCATGTTTGAGCTGTCATTGTAAAAGTAGTCTGTTCATTGTAAACACAAGGCATTATTCAGTTTCCTCTGAAGTGAAACAATGTCAAGCTTTTAGATTTTTTGGATTAAATGTATTGTTTGGCATCAGTGCATTAAGGTACATCTCTTAACTGACACAGATAATATATCATAGCTAAACCGTGAGTGTAGTAGCTCATCTGCACTCAGCTGTTAACAAACTATTTTTGACAAGACTGACCTTTAGTTCTCTCTGGAGTTTGTGGAGTATTTTGAACATGTCCTGTGCTGTGCTCTCCATGTTCTCCGTCCGCAGGGTGGCAAACTGACCGACCTTCCAGATGTTCCAGTTGGCGTTCCACTCCTTTGTGATCGCCCAGACCTGCTGCAGGTGTTCTATGTCCTGTACAAACATCCATTTAAACACACAAACGGTCAATATATAATCATGTACATAATTCTAATACTAATATTCTAATATTGGGAGGGATGAAACCCTCTTTAATGGTCACACATGCAGAGCACACAGTACAGTACACACAGTACACACATCCTAGTACCAGGAGTCTAGTACTAGGAGCAGTGGGCAGCTATTGTACAGCGGCCCTGCATTATGCATTTGCAAAATTCCTTTAATGGCAACATCCAAGGTCTGAATTTATAAACCCGTCTAAGTCGTGTCCTGAAAAAGAGTACCGTATATACTGTACTATCAATTACCGTCTAAAGAATGCTAACTCACTTATGCTAAGCCAGTTTATCTCAACCACACAATTCCCACAGAACTGTATAAGCTTGTTTATTAGTATATAAGGGCTATGAGGTAAGTGCTTTGTTGGACCTTTTCGAGCGCCCGGATCTTCTTGGAGGGGGGCTGTTCTATTTTAAAGAAGTTCAGCCCTTCAATGAGGGTGATCTCTTCCTGTTTCAGAGCCTCCAGTTGGCTGTGATGCTCGGCTACTCGGTTTAAGGCAAACTCCGTGCTGAGGGAACTGTCAAATGGACCTGGATATGAACAATTCAAATGAAATGAGATCAATAACCCATGAAAAATCATACAAAAACAGAAAAACATACAGATTTACATGTCCACACACTATTATACAATGCCTACTGAATACTACCTTTCAGCTATATCATATATGTGTGTTAAAAGAGGGAGGGAGTGTGTGCGTGTGTGTGTGTGTGTGTGTGTGTGTGTGTGTGTGTGTGTGTGTGTGTGTGTGTGTGTGTGTGTGTGTGTGTGTGTGTGTGTGACCTGTGCTGTTGAACTCCTCCATAGTGCTCTGGGTCTTCTTCTTGAGCTCCTCAGAGGAGAGGAGGAGGGTGTTCTTAAACTTCTCCTTGTCCTTCTGCAGCAGGATGTCACTGTCAATCAACACCTGCTGGAACCACACCCAGTCCTCGTTCAGCACCTCATGCAACTCGTGCACCTGTGGGTCACCAACACATGTAGTGTTCGTTTGTATGACAATCTGCAGTACTATCAGCGAAGAGTTTTTACAATGTCTGTATTTTGCTGAAACCTTAAGTGTCTGTGTACACAAATCCAACAGATTTCATTGTTTTACTTCAGGGGAGGTTAACACTATACACTTGTCTTAGTCCTTTCTCTCTGTATCAGGCAATGTGCTTACAGCCTGTTCCACTGGGACCTCGTATTTGTCCAGGATAGCAAACTGTTCGTGGATGAGAGGAATCTGAGCCTCTGTCTTGGCCAGGTTGCCCTGAAGAGTCTCCAACAGCTTCAGGTTCCCACTGAGCTCTGCCAGTGTCTGAGGAGGTTTCTTCAGCCTAAACACACATAGAAATAATCACAACAAAGATTCATACCACTTTAAGCACAGTATATTTTCCAAATGTTTACAGGATCAACATTTCCCCCTTGGCTTTCCAATCTCGTCTTCTATTTATCCTCAAAAATGAAAAAAAAAATGTTTTCTTCAATTCTATATTATTTATTTTCATACATATTTTTTGTTCTGTTTCATTTTTATTTCATTTCTTACCTATTCTATTTACTTTTCTTGTTTCATTTTAAATTTGTCCTAATAGGTTTAAGTTTTGCACCAATACAATACATAGAGTCTTTTTATGTGAAAAACGACTACTCAATTAACCGGATTCTGATTCTGATCTTCCCTTAATGACTGAAAACATCACTTAAGGTCAAATCAATAAATAGTTTTGCCAAGGACTTGTTTGATCTCTCTCCCTCTTCACCTGTCATCCCTACTCTCTGTAATAAACACATACAAATGAGTCCAATATAAACTCCTCTCCATTGACTCCCCACCTGTTGGCATTGTCTTGCATGGAGCCATGAAGTTCTTTGAGGCGGGTGCTCGCCATGTGGCTGAGCAGCTGAGTGAACTTGGTTTGCCACTGGCTGCAGAGCTGCGCCAAGGAGGACTTGAGAGGGGAACAGTCCAGCATGACAAACCGGATGGTCAACACCGTCTCTTCCTGCTGAACACTGTTGGCCTTCTCTGTGTACCTGGGGGTAAAACAAGACAACAACTCACAATGTAGTCCAATGCTTGGAGTATCAAAAGATGCATAGAAATGAACAATCAAAGAAGGATGTTCCTGCCTGTGTATATCAGCATCAAAAGTAGTGACTGGTGGGTTTAGTCTCTTGTAGCGTTGTATAAAGGAATCCTGGTTGTTCTCCCAGATATCCCTGTATCTGTCCCACGTCTTTAGATAGATCTGTAGGTTGCTGGCATTGGCTGTCATCCCTGTGGCAACTGCAGCCTGAATCTTCTTTATCTCCTCGTCTTGCTCTAAAGGATTGAAGATGGCAAGGGTGACAACGGAGACGGGAGAAGAAACACTTTCGGGTCTACATTATTCTCAGCACACAGTAAAAACAGATCAGATATTCACAGTGGTACTCTTTTTGGGAATGTAAAAAACGTTGCTCTAACCTATGTTGATGTGTATGGGATTCCCCTCTGGTTGCTTGCCGGAGAGAACTTCAGACAGTCGTTTGAATTCTGAGATGGTGTTGATGAGCTGAGGCATAATGTTCACAATCTGAGCGAGCTTTGCGAGCGTAGGGGAGATCTCGACCTTTCAAAAAACACGCAGGTCAGCATAAAGAGAACTACCCCAACATACATTTTGATATTTTCCATAGCACTTAAACAGATAAATAGGGGTTTGATGGTACCTTCGGTGTACTTGTGGGAGTTGCCTGGCGCATTGCTACCATGACTTTGAACAAGGGATTAGGCGAGGTCTTGTTGTCTCCATTGATGGCCCTGGACAGCTTCTTCATGGAGTTCTTGATGTTGCTCCTCAGAGCTTCTTCTACCATGTGATCCACCTTCTCTGTATAGATCGCCCAGTGCTCCTCGACCTTAAACACCATGGTACAAACATACACATGACATGGGACTGCACATTTGTATGTTTGCTGTACATGATATCACATTAAACATGGAAGTCTCGCTGTCGATACGAACAGAAAGAGATTGGACTTAATGATAAAGAGGCAGAATGCATTGTTTGCTCTCTTGCTTGTTGTCATTGAGTTTTCATGCAAACATTTTTTACATTTTTCAAAACATTGTGTTGATTTAAACGTCACCTTCAGAAAAAGAGCTGAGCTACTACTTAACAGTTTCATGTTGGCTTATGCCTACACCTAGCATAGAAACATAATTTTCTCACATAGAGGAAGCACAACATAATAATCTTATACATGTTACAGTATTCCAACTATTTCCTAACAGTGCAGGAAGAATAACGCCAGGAGTGAAGGAGAAAGAGCACATACCTCAGGCCCATCATTGGAGAAGGTGCTGTGGATGTGAGACATAATTTCAGCAATATCCTGGTGTGCTGAGCGCAGTGTTTGGAGTTGGCTCTGCTGGTGTTTCTTCTGGTCATCCTCAAACTCCAGGTTCCTTAGAATTGCAGGAGGAACACCCAAGATTTAACCAACACAGAAAAACAATGTGCATCACTTGAGCGGTAATATGCAACCCATGTGCATCACTTCAGATAATTGCAAAAGTGGTGACAATTTATGAATGATTTGTCAGTAATATAGTATGGCCTGTTTCAAGATAATTAGCTCGATATTGGAACTAAAGTAAAGGGGATTTCAAAGAATGACGGCATAGACAACATCCACATGACAACGCTGAGTTTAAGGATGAATGAATACGATGAATAAAATGAAGGGGTGTCATGTTTAAAATCAACTCATAAAAACAACTTTACCCAATGTTTACAGTACTTAATGAATTTACAGTTTAAATACATACACACAATATAAATTGTAGGAACCATTTCGTAGGAAGTGACTAAAAACATGATGAACAATATCTGTGCCTTTCCCTATTTTGTGTTTTACTCTGTTAGGCATCCTATGCAATGAGGAAGTGAGTGTTACCTGAACACAGTCTTTCCATCCAGTCTAACCAGCAATGTTTCGCTGATTTGGCAACAAAGGTTGGAGATGGATAGGTTGGATAGTTTGTATCCATCAACCAACAACTGAACCTATAGTGTGATCAAGGTGAGAGAAGAGGAGAGGAGTTTATCAGTGACTAAACACCACTATCCAAGAATATGAGGATCTGTTGAGGATACTTTGAGTTACTGTTATCCTGTTGACACCACTTTACCAGGTGGCTATATCAGTTATGCTGTGTTCCTACCTTGTTCACGTGCTGGAGACCTTCCCGGATGAAGATATTAGAAGCCCCTTTAGAAAACCACTCGAGCTTGGTCAGCCCCGGCTGAACTTTCTTATCAAGGAAACGAATCCGCTCGCGAAACAGACCTATCTCATCAGGAGACAGCATCCCAATGACCCTGATACACACACACACACAAAAAAAACATTGTTTTTTTTAGGGCTATCAAGTTAAGGCGTTAAGGCGCCACTAATTATTTTTAACGTGCGATTAACGCATGTGTATTTGTCCTCGGCCCGCCCCGTAGTTTCAGAGCCCAAAGGCTTGACGACGTTGTTGTTGTTGTTAGTTGGATGGTGGGAGATTCCAGCGAGAGATATGGATACAAAACAGTTTTAAACAGCAAGCCAAGCACACAGCTGATGCTGACAGCCTCCTGCCGCTCGCTTGCGGCAGACCACGCTTGAAAATTTGCCGGGGAGACGCCTGGACACGGCGTCTACGAGCAGCAAGCTTTCAACAGCGATAGCTAAATGGGTGGCGGTGGCTACAGCTTGCAGGACAATTAAGATTGTGGAGGACGAGGGACTGTGTGAGATCATTCGGATCGCATCCAACGTGTCGACTGCACATCACAGCGCATTATTTTGACCCACAGTGGGAACTTCAGTCTCATGCTTTGACTGTTATGAAGACAGAGGAGCGGCATTTCACCGACAACTGTAAACAGGCTTGTCTGTTTGAGCAACTGGCTCAGTGCAGAGAAGTAGACAGGCTTGGGAGAGAGTGTAAGAGAGAGAGAGAGGCTCCAGGTTGTTGTATTGAAAATATTCAGGAGAATATTTGTCATTGTTCCAATGATAATAAACAAACATTTGCATAAAGCATGTTTGTCCACTCATATGTTGATAAGAGTATTAAAAACTTGAACAATATTCCTCTAAGGTACATTTAGAACAGATAAAAAATGTGCGATTAACTATGGACATCATGCGATTAATCGCGATTAAATATTTGAATCAAATGACAGCCCTACTATATATATATTTGATAGACTAAACTATATCAGGTGTATGGTAGTCACAGTCCCTTCCAAGAATAATTTCTGATGTTTACAATATGACGATACATCAGGCCCCTGATATCATACATCAATTGTTCAGTTCATTCATGTTTTCGTCCTCTTCTGTGTGTGTGTTTGTGTGTTTGTCAGACCTGTTGTAGTCCCTGGTCAGCAGCAGTGCTCTCTCCCTCAGGCCTCGGAGTTCGTCCCTGTCCTGGTAAATGTCAGACACACACTGGGGGATCTCAAACTTCAGTCGATCCCAGTAGTGGATCTCAGAGAACAGAAGTAACAGGTTGCTGGACAAGAAAACACACAGAAAAAAACAAAATGAATTAAGAGGTCATGTATGTAAACATTTAGCCTTAAAATGAATATATATTGTGTACGAGCATGTCATAGAGTGTATTAGCATCAGTACTTAAGACACTGAATGTATATTTAAAAATGAATGACTGGTGTTGTGTGAAAGTGATGCTTGTTTCACACACTTGTCAAAGTTGACCTCCAGCTTGGCGGTCTTGTCCTTGCAGCGCAGCAGGAGTGGCTGCTCCAGTCTCTTGAGGTACTGTGTATCCAGGTTCTGGCTCCACGTGCTGAAGTTCTTCCTCATCCTCTCGTCAAAAACCTGAACCATTTGGGCATTGGTTAAAACGACATGCTTGCGGCTGTTTGACTCAGGCATGAAGTGGGCCTTCTGAAGCACCTGGAGGGGAACGAAAGAGGACAAATGAGAAGAAAAATCAAGGAAGAAGCTCCAGAAGGAGAGATTAATACCGTCTGTTAATAGTGAGCACATGGTTATAATTCAACCTAAGCAGAGTCAGAGTTCTAACTAAACATCTTTACTTTGCATCCTGCTTATGGTGGTGGAAAGTAACGGTTGAGTACAAGTAGAAAAGGGAATAGATTAGCGTATAGTCTAATGAACTCACCTCCATGGGTATCTCTAAGCGTTGCTTGAGGGCCCTCACCCAGTGGGCCTCGCCTGCCATCCGGGCCATGTGGTCAGGATAAGACCTCGTCCTCTGATTCAGCTCCTTGTTGGCCATTTTGAGCTCTTTGCGAAAGATGCTGTACACTTGCTCCATCTTCTCTTCTGTTGTCCGCTTAATGGCCTGGGTAGATAGGATGGAAGTGAATGAGTACACAAATTGTACAAGAGTAAGAAACCGACAATAACCCTGTATAGTTGTCTTTAAAGGTTTCATTAATATAAGGTGATAAAAAGTGTTAATGTATTGATGTGTTTGGTGGTTTAAAAGTGAATTGAGTGAATGTACGTGTGTGTTTGTGAGATACACACCTCTCGAGTAGACATTGGCCTAAAAATATCAAGAAGCCGAACTCCTTCCTCCACTGTGGTCACCGTCTTGAACACTGATTTGATCAGGTTCTGCTTTAACATTTCCAGATCCTTCACCAACGCACGAAACCTGTGTGTACAAGCACACACACGCAGGAACATATCACCTGGTTATCAAAATTATGCACATTTTTGTTTGTGTTAAGAGATTTTAATAAGATTTGCAGCCTATACTTTCATAAAATTAAAGGAGACCTATCATGCTATATTTAAATGATATAGTGTATGACCATACCTATATAAGGTATATTTATAAATTTTATTTTTCAAAATACCAAACAGATCATTTTTTAGCCATGCCTCGTTTCGCTCATTTTCGCTCTATTCCAAGCCTGTCTTTGAAAATTCTGAGCAGCATCTGGCCACGCCCCCCTGCAGAAGAGGGGGGCATGAGCCGGCGAGAGTCACGTTACCATGTTTGCTGTGATTACGAGTGTGGAATAA